TGGCACTTTAGGAGGATTTGTCAAAGACACTAGATCTTCTGAAAGCTGTCATGAAGCATACGCTTTGACATGTAACCATTTATATCCCACAACGAATACTGCAGCTTATGCAACCATAGATGGAGACGAAAGAGAAGTAGGAAAATGTATTTTTACCACCCGGGAAAATTCTTGTGATTTTGCAGTTGTTGAGATCAATAAAGACATTGTTGATAAATACGATTTTAAATTTAGACGAGATGACGAAAAGAAATGTAACGCAAAAGTTTCGGAATATTTTCCAATAAATGTTGGTATCGTACATAAAAACGGTTCAGAAACGAAGTGGACGCGTGGTCGTATTGTCAGTTCTGCATTTCATGATGCTGTTAATAATAAGGAAGTTTTCGTAGTCAAAGGCTTAGACCGGCGTCCATTCTCTACTCTTGGTGACAGTGGATCGATAGTCTTCGCAAGAGACAATTCAGTGGCACAAGACACAGTTGATGTTTTGGGAATGGTCTATTCCAATAACCCTGACATCCGTGACAATACAGGCCACTCGGAATATGAGGAAGAAAAGGCAAAGGAACCTTCGGGACATTCGGAGGGAAATCTTAAAAGTGGGATTGACCAAAGTAATTGTGCTGGTGAGAGCAAATTGAAAGACGCTGACAAGTCTGAAAGTGACCAATCACTAGCAAGTGGTACGAACCCACAAATCAAATCAAAATCAAGGAAAAATCCGGAAAATTACAGTTTTTGTTTTCGAATGAACAATGCCATTGAGCTTTTGGAAAAGGAAAAAAACTTACTTGTTAGTTTCGAAAGAGTTGAAAATTCATCAGCTGATATTTAATACTGATTGATTTGCAAATAAAAATGTGAACAGGTGTTTATGAGTATCATTCTTTAAATAGTCTTGTAACAAAATTGTTTTTATAAGAATAAAAAGGACAATTTTGTTGTTTTTTTTTTCATATTGATAATAAATAAAAGATTTCATAGAATCAATTTGAACTAAAGGGAATCGACGCAAATGATCGATTCTCTACTTTCCTTATTTGATTTCCGTCAATTTTTTCCCTATATTTCAATGCTAGCTTTATTGTTCCAGAATACAACAAAGAAATTGATAGAAGAACACTTATACATGTATGCACATGGCAAAAAATCGAGGTTAAAACAAGTTGGGTATTGCAGCACTCCAGACAACAGTTTCTAGGTCCAAAAGCAAATAATTTCTCAATAAAAAAAATTAATAAATAAATAAAACACAAAGCTATCTTGAGATATGTAATCCACTTTATTCTTCTTACTAATTTACGAGAGCTCCGTGTTTCCTTTTGAAGTGGAGGGGACAAATTTGTCATCAAATGATTTTGAAAATCCTAGAGGTAGGCGTCTGGATTCCCTAAACCCTGCTGGATCCGTTACTGACAACTAACTAAATGACATCTGATTATTTCCATATCTAGATACCAGATAGTGGAAACGTTGAAAAGAAATATATAGGTACTTGAGTATGGTTTGAAATTTCTCTGAATTAAATTTAGTCGTTGATTTTTTTTTTTCAAAAATTACAATAATGGTATGATAATTATCTCAAGGAGTACACTGAGTTGATGACAAAAATATCCATTGATAACGTTAACGTAATTAACGTAAGAAATATGCGAACACGCTAAAATGACTTCTCGCTAACAATCCTCCCTCCCTCCCATTTTTTAAGGATTCCAATCAAAAATTTCAATTATACGGTATATTGCATACATTATACAAAAATCATTACTTTACTATATGACTGTTTGAATTAGGTAATTGTTTTACTTTACTTTATGAAAAAAAAAATAAAAAACTCTCGTCCGTCTTTTTGTGTTGGGTAAATTTATTTTTAATCCAAGGAAATACCTCACAAAATAGAGGTGTATGAAATAATTTGAAGAAAATGACCCGTAATGAATCTCAGAAGTCAATTGAAACAATACAGATACTAAGTAGAGCCAACACGGACCTTTAGGAACATCAGAGGTAGGACCAGGGGCCACGGAGGAGTAAGCATCCCCTGTCGACAGGTCACATCCGCCTTGTGCTCATTGTCATGATCGGAAAAAATCCGTAGACAATTCAGTGTGTAAATAATGACGAACAATTAGTATGAAAAACGTCAGCCAGCATTCGACTAAATGATATATTGTATTTGCTGACAAGGTCATTGTATCGACCATAGACTTTGCGAAATGATGACTTTAAAGAAGACTGTTGATATCCTTGTTTCGGCAACTAATAGCTTGCCTCCTTTTAGAAATTGGTCGGTTATGGAGCATGCTCTTGCGTATCGAATCAACTGGGAGATAAAAATCCCTTATGCAGGAATAAATGGTATATTACTACACAAGTAAGGGAAGTTGTCGATAGAAAATTTGAATTTATCACGTTTATTATGGAATTTTATTGTTAGGATACGGTCAGCGATTCTTTTATAGTAAAATATCCAAATATGAAACAGATGTGTTATACTTTGCTGTATCTTTTGTTTCAAGTTCACTTGGATAAATCGAAACGATATGAACAGAAGTAACTATTGCTAATTGATAATACGTCGTCCATATATCCGGAAAAAATCCGTAGACAGTTCAGTGTATAAGTAATGGCATAACAGTTAGTATGAAAAACATCAGTCAGCATTTGAGTTAATGATAGGTTGTACGAGGGGTGATCAAAAAGTTCGCAAACTATCTCTATATTTACAAAACCACAATTCAAATCAGAATGAAGTTTGGTACACAAACAGTTATAAACATGTTTTATAAATAGCATATGTCATGTAATATTTCGGTCCATGTTTATGACGTCACAATGTGAAAATGACGTCAATATATAGGTGACTTGTGACGAAAAATGGGTGACTCTGTCTTACTCGTGCAAGGAACGGCTGTAAAGTTTAACGTAAATCTTGGAAATTCCTTTGCAGAGACATACAATAATTGGTACATGGTTTATGAAGACTAAGGACTTGCAAGAAGTTCAATCATTAATTGGATTGATTGTTTTAGTGACGAAAGGGAGATGGTTATATATGATGTTCGTTCTGGTGCCCAGTGAAAGTAACCTGGGAAAGAGGTGTGGCATTAGTTGAACAATTTGTGATGAAAAATCGCCAAGTTACAGTTAGAAAAATAGTTGAACATCTTAGCAATAAAATATTAATTAAATACCTTAAATATCATTTAGATCAGATTTAAACATATCAGATATGATAAAGAGAACGTACCAATACTTGATTCACATTAAAAAAAAACTACGCATCCAATACAGAGGAGTCGGGTTGTGATGGTCACCATGCTCATTCTGGTAAAATAAATCCTAATCCAACCACCGTATTTCCGAGATTGACAAAAGAACTTTTCTTGTTATAAAAAATAACCTGCATGGTAAGAAATATAAGACTCGGAAAAAATCTTTTAGCCGCAGTGAACAGAACGCTATGGAGCATGTCTCGTGACCACATGGACGGCGTGTTTCGCGCATGGGCAGACCGGAGGCAGATGTGCATTAAAACCGGAGGGGGCTACTTTAAAACTTTAAAAAAATAATGCACACCGACACCTAATTTAATTTCTTTCATGGAAGTAATTCAGTTAGTTCGCGAACTTTTTGATCACCCCTCGTATGTACATACAAGGTCATTGTATCGACCGTAAAACTTGCGAAATAATGACTTCAAAGGAGGCTGTTGATATCCTTGTTTCATCAACTTGTTTGTCAATAGTTTGCCTTGTTTTAGAAATTGTTCATACGTAAAGCATGCTCTTGCGTATCGAATCAACTGAGAGACATAAACCCCATATGCAGGTTATAAGGGTATATTGCTACATAAGTAAGGGAAGCTGACGATTGAAAAGTTGAAGTCATCACGTTTATCATAAAGCCTTGTTGTTAGTTTACCATTGACGTCTTTTTCTTGTAAAATATCTGAATATGAAACAGATGTGTCAGAATATATGGTATCTTTTATTTCAAGCTCACTGGGATATATCAAGTCGACATATGAATGAAAGTAACTATTGTGAATTGATAATACGTCGTCGATATAACGAATTGTCAAGTTGAAGGCCACAGTAAGTGTTTTCTACTTCTCGGGTAGAAGTTTTTGAATAAATTCTGCTTCAGATGAATACAAAAATAGGTCTGCTAATAAGGGGGTGCAATTGATACCCTAGGGAATTCCAACAGATTGCTGGAAGACCTGATCTCCAAAAACTACATAGATATTGTCAATCAAAAACTCAAGCATCTTTTATTATAAACTTCAGAGTACTTTTGTGTACGATCAGAATGCTTTTTAAAAAAATAATTTTGCAAATGACCAATGACAAGGTTATTATATTTACGAGTTCCATTTTTATTGAAAAAGCAGCTGTATATGTCAAAAAGCCTGGACTTCATTTTATTGTGGGGAATGGTTGTATAAAGTGTTGAAAAGTCGTACGTTTTTTAAAATGTGTTTGATTTTAGTAAAATTTTGTGATTTCAAATTTTCTAAACGTTCTTTGGAGTTTTTAAGTATCCACATCTCATTTACACCTCTTCTCGAATATACTGTTCAATTTCAGTTCGGAGGGGCACAGTCATACATTTTCAGTTGGGGGCACTATCATCACCAAAAATTTCTTGACAACCAAAAAAGTCATCAGACGTTTTTATTGAGTGGCCACAAGCATATTGTAGCTATGTTTTCTATAGTATTCTGTATATCAGCAAAATTATTGGGGGGCACGGCCCCGTGTGCCCCCCCCGTTCTTACAGCAATGTTTATTTAAAGTACCTTATCAAAATGTATTTTTGCATAACATATATAAACTTCTGGGCTTCACCTGTAAAGAAACAAAGTTCACTTTAAATCAATAGATGAATGCATAACATATAGATAGCAGATAATTAATTAAATACCTCAACTTCTATATCAAGAGAATAAAACGATCAGCAGAATAAATACATAAGTGGGTTATCTGATCAGATTGCACATACAACACTGGTGGGTGTGATAGCCGCCATTACAGTCTACATTAAGGTAAACTCCAATAAATATTTAAAAAATTATTAATTCTGAGTTTTGACAGATTTAATTTAAGTTTATTAACTCATTGCTTAATACAGACCTTTTCACTGAAAGTGTATAAAATGCTTTTAAACCTTTGTGAGTACAGTATTATAAGTCGTATTTTGTTTATCCAAAATGATAAAATCCAAATACCATTATGCAGAAATGATCGGGATCCTATCATGGAATTCCACATGATTTAATGTTAAGTTGTGAGCGCTCGCTCCGTATTCGAAAACTCGTGTGTTCGAATCACGGCCGCGACTGACCTAAGTCGATAAAAAAAAAAAATAGATAGCAACTATTCCTTCGCCAAGCGCTCGGCACTTTGAAGTGCACTTTGCGGGTCCTTCGGATGAGACCTTAAAAACCGAGGCCCAGTGTCACGGTAGGCGTTGGCACAATAAAGAATCCTCACTGCTCAATGGCCCTAGGTGCCGAGTAAAGGTCTAAATTTGAAGCCCTTCACCGGTATATGGTGACGTCTCTATATGAGTGAAAATTTCTCGAATGCGACGTAAAACAATATATAATCAATCAATCAATCAATCAATGTTATGTTGTGGCAAAGTAGATATTCTAAACATTTCTATATATAATATCTCAATCCAGATTTTCACTTCGAATTTCTTTCCTTGTTCGCGTATAGTCTCTAATTTTGATATCAATTATCTCATTTTCTAATAGATAGTTTTTTCTTTCTTACACTCATACTCTTATAACATTAACAAAAACCGAATCTTTTCTGCACTCTAGGGCCGAATTTATTCCGTCATGGACCCACGCATGTGTGCACAAGAGTTGATACGATGTGACTTGTGTGAGACTAAATCGGTACAGGTTCACTGTGATACATGCCAGATCAAACTCTGCAATGCATGTATAGGAGAGCACATGGCATCGGATGCTGATGATTCTAAGACAAAGCACGAAATAGTGAAATTCAAATTTCGAAAATCAATACCCCTCTACCCTCGTTGTACCTCTCATGACAAAGAACGATGTGAAATGTACTGTAATCAATGTGATGTTCCTGTCTGCCTTACTTGCATTGCATCTCAACAACATTCAGGACATATTCTTTTAAAAACGTTGCAAATAATAAATGAAAGAAAAGAAAAGATTATCAAAGATAAAAATGAATTAAATCAGGCAATATTTCCAACATACCAAGAAATTGCATCTGATGTAGAAAACATGATAAAGCAGTTAGAAAAGGAATATGGAGATCTCTCAACAGCCATAACAAAACATGGAGATGGGTGGCATAGAATAATTGACCAAAATGTCAAAAAACTTCTCTCTGAGGTTGACGTGGCGAAAACAAAGCACTTACAAATTCTTCAGAGACATCTTGATGATATTAATGTGAAAAGTTCTAAAATAAAGGGTGAAATTGATTCCATTAATATTGTTCTTGACTCAGAGGACATTTCAAAATTGTTAAGTATTACATTAAATTTAGATACATATAGAAAACTTCCACATAAAATTGTGCCTCTCTGTCCTACATTCACTACAAGGCAAGAAGACCTTGGGGAAGATATTTGTAAACTCTTCGGATTTATATCATCAGGTAAATTAACTTCAGAAGAAAATGGTTACAGTTTCAAGACAACAAAGAAATCATCAGAAGCTAAATGCTATTTTCCAATCAAAAAGCTACTTGATGAACCAGTGATAATCACCACCTTAAATACAAATTATGAAACATTCCTGAACAACGTGGCCTTGTCTGTGTGATGATGAAATCTGGACAAGTGGGAATGAAAGCATCATGGAACGGTTCAACATCCTTCAGAGCTCATTACTCGAGGTAGTCAGTTTAAAGGGTAGGCGTATCCCCACTGACATAGCAGTAACAACACATGGTTATCTTGTTTATACTGATCCCAAAGACAGAACTGTGAACATTGTGAAAAATAAAAAGAAAGAGATTGTAATCGAACTAGAGAATTGGAAACCATGCAATATCTGCAGAACCTCCTCTGATGACCTCCTGGTTACTATGGATAGTACAGAATATAGTCAATCAAAGGTTGTCCGTTACTCTGGATCCACGGAAAAACAAACCATTCAGTGTGATGGTAAAGGTCGCCAACTCTATGCATCTGGTGATATTAAATACATAAGTGAGAACAAGAACCTGGATATCTGTGTGGCTGACAGTCGAGCTAAAGCAGTCGTGGTGGTCAATCAAGTCGGAAAACTGAGATTTAGGTATTCTGGACATACTGATATTTGCTCATTCACCCCAATCGGAATCACCACAGACAGTCAGAGTCATATCCTTACAGCTGATTTAAACAACCACTGTGTCCACATTATAGACCAGGATGGACAGTTCCTCGGTTACATAGAATGTGGAATGTGTTATCCTTGGGGACTGTGTACAGATACAAATGACAATTTATTTGTTGCTCAGTGGAGAAACAGACAAGTGAAGAAAATCAAATATCTACAGTGAAGTTAAACATTATTGGTGCATTGAAATACAACATTGCACGCTTCATTCCTGTAAGAATGGTTATAAAAATATGCATCATGGACACGAAATACTAGCTTTCACATAATCATTATATGTTATTACTCTAGAAGCAAAACCTAAATGAGCACTAAAATGTATTTTGTTTAGTTTGTTTTTTTGTGATATGACATCCGTATACCTATCAACATTTTATCATACTGTAGATTAATTTGTCCAAAACATGATTTCAGTTTATCATATCTCCTGTAAGAGTTTTTATCATACATTGTTTTAAATATTTATTTTTCCATTTTATAAATCTTTACTGTCTAAATCTGCACGTTCAGCTCATGAAACATTGACAAATATGATCCTTTGATGCAATTAAAAATTGAACGCATTTAATTGATTTTAAAAACCAGAAGGATGTATGTCATTTTGACACCCACCCTTCCTCTTTCTCCAAACATAGCCTGTTACTATTGAAATCGTTCATTGAAGCATTGAAGGGCCGGTCCTCCGCACTCCATCCTTTTGTTGCACAGTATATTCAAGTCGACCCATGGTAACGTATTAGTAAATAACTAGGTTCACTTAGGACCTTTTTGGCCCTGTGAATTTCTGAAAAATCAAAACCACTCAGTTTTAGTTGAAATTACATTAAATTTCACTTGGACCCTTGGTGACTGCATATCTATTAAAAATGACGTAATTTTCTTTCTAGTCCATGTATTATGACATCATGAATTGCGTCATAATCCTCAAATTCTGAAAATTTCTTTTTTAAAAAATGGCCAAAAATTTAAGATGTTTTTCAATATTTTGCATAGACCCCAAACTCTGATCCAAAATGTTCGATTGTTGCCTGACGCCACGTGCGTCTTCCAAACCCGCAAGTATCATCTTCCAATTTTTTTTCCATTGGAGATTTATGGACCATACATGAATTATTCACTTTTCAGCCAGTGACCTTGAATCTACCTAAATAAAAATGGATCAATATCATGGAATACTCTCAGGTCATAAATAATCCTTGTGTACAGGATAAGGCTTTAGATGTTTACAAGGTATCCAATACAGGACATGGCAAGGACAGGAGATTTACCTGTAAAAGTGATCTTGAACGTGACTAAAATGACTCTCAATCAAAGCCATGACACATCCTAATAAACAATAAGTAAAAGCAAATTTTATCTTTCCACCATAAATAAATCTCAAAATATTTAATGACGAATCTGGCAAATGTACTGAAGCTTACTGTGGAGCTGTGGGAAAGGATCCATGCTTTCGATTTCATTTATGTGACATGATAACCGATAATAACAATAACGTCTTACTTGCTGTTAAGAATGACCATGCCATTAATTTATTGGACAAATCCTTGAGATTTCAGAGACTGATATTTACTGAAGAAGTTGGGCTCCGATCACCATCCAGTATACCTCTAGATACTTCTGGTTATCTCTGGGTGGGGTGTGAAGATGGAGTGATACATATTTATAGTGAATTATCAATATCTTCTGAATACAAATCGAATATCTAGACTGAAATTAAAAGGAGTGTTGATGTTGAGACCTCCTAATTTTGTGTCTTCTAAACATTAAATAAGTGTCAAATTATAAATAAAAAAAAAAAAAAAAAAAAAAAAAATTAAATACAATTTTAGTTTAAATTAAAACTATAATACAAAATTTGATAAAAATGGTTAAAAGTCTGAATTCTATATAAAAAGACATACGTGTAAGCTATTCAGTGTTAATCTAAATAGGTGTATTCTACAATTAGGGTTGTCCAAAAAACTCGAGGACAATGCATTTTTCATCATATTTACTGGTCTACTAATATAAGCATATTGTATACCAAGATATTTCTTGCAAAATTCCAAGACAAACTACATGTAGTACGCCTTAATTGTTTGAACTTAAATTTTTCGTACAAATTGTCGTCTTACAGGTTCGCGAAAAGTGTCCACGAACAAGGCTTAATTGTAAACTTTATTATAAACGTCCTGGAATCAAATGATTATATTTATATTTTTCAAGAAACAATTCAAATATAATTAAATTTAAATGTGAAGTACCTTGAACTGCTTATGTTTTTTCCATTGTCGTTACTACGGTTATTAGATGGATAGATAGAATGTTCTATCGTTAAAATGATATTGTCCAACGGACCCGGTTTAACCTTGTATCTATCTAAATAAACGTGAGTCAGTGTCATGGAATACTTTCAGGTCATAAGTAATCTTTGTCTGGGATGAGCATTCGATATTTACCAGTTACAGGACATATGGCAAGGACAGGAGTTTTACTCTTAAAAGTGACCTTGAATCTAGACTAAATGACTCTCAAATCATGTTCCATCCTAATAAACAATAAGTAATATTGTAAATTTCCAATAAACTGGATCAAATGTTTCTTTCAAATGTCTTTCCATTATTCCCAGACATGATTGCACAGACAGATGGACAAAGTGACTGCTAAATACTTAAATCCTTATATGTTTCTGTAAATTTACCAAACTTTGTCTCTAACTTCTAGTGCCGAAAAAGTATTAAAAAGGTTAAATTTTACAATAGAAACACCGTGCGAGATTTTAGAAAGAAAAGCAAAATGCCCCGTTATCATCAAACTCGCGGAATAAAAATCGAAGTAGGGTGCAGGAAAAATCCTGTTTATAAACATCCCTTATATTGCAGTGGTAATGGGAGACTAAATAGACTTAATCTTCCATATTATTGTTCCTTGGCGACCAGTGTTTGTGTATTTTTTGTATGATCCTTACCCAAGAATTTACATTTATACCAATGATAGCTTTGTCAATGTACATGTATCAGGTGACTGAATCTTCAATATAAACGAATTACCCATGAAATAACGTCCTCAGTAAAATTATGGTTAGCCATGAACATTGACCCACACAAACTCCACTGTGACTTAATATCAGAAAGATTTTTTATTGAATCCTATATGCATGATTTATTTTAATACAAGAACATGTCTAAATATACTTTATTCTTACAAAGGATGATTTCAAATAAACTGATGGTTATAACAGAGGTATACTTGAATATTGACAAAAATGAAACATAAAATTATATGTATAAACATAACATATTATTCAACATACTAAACTGTTTTTTAAGGAACATATGACTTTCATTCAATATGTATATTTGTTTTGTTTTTTGTTTTTGTTTTTTTTTTGTATATCATTGTAAGTAGAATGTTCAATCAACAGTCATTCAGAATCAGAATTTTCTGCGTTCTACAATCCTCTCAATAAATTCACTTATATATCTTGCCTTTTATGACATCAAAACTTTTCATCAAACAAAAATCTTAATTTATATATAAACATATAATATAGAGAAAATTTGCTTATTCCATAGTCCATATTTTTACTTTTGAAAAAAAATCATTCTTCAGACATGAATGATTTTCCTTAAACCAGGAATAAAAAATGGGAACAATTAAAGTTAAGTCTGATGCAATCTTGCTTTTTAGCATGGTTTTGAGCTTCTTCGTTTCCAAAAATCCCTCTTTACATAGAGAACATATGAAATACTGTTCCACTAAACGCCTTAGAAGGGAATGTGGAAGTCCATCACAGCAAACAAAAGTCCATGATCGTATGTATACATCCTCCTCCTGCTCTTCTGATATGTACTTCTTATGTTTGCTTTCTTTCCTATGAATCTTAAGATGAGAGTCATACTTTCCATGGAATTAGGGTTGACAAAGACAGGATCTAGCAAAGTAACTTCCACAGGATTACCAGAGTGAAACGATTGAACATGAGCATACTGCTGATCAGGCTCCACACTTCTCTTTTTACTACCAATATGTTTTTCAACATTTGACAATCCATGATGCCTACAATAGCTGGTTACATTTTTTTACTTTTTCCTGGCCCAGCAAAGTATTTTTGGCATGGTTGGACTTCTCTTGAACGGATTGACTGTTCTTAGTTGTTTTCTCCTGACAGTTTGGACATTTTCTTGCTCTTTTCCCAAACTTTGTGTGGCATTTTTGGCGAGTTTGATTACAGAGATTTTCAATTTTCTTTGATATTTCAAGGTCAAGTGCATCCTGCCACTTTCCTGACTCATCATTTTGATGCAGTTCTTCTTTCACGTGTCCTATTACATTGTGCAAATGATGATACAGTTCTTCATAATGAGTATCAATCAATAGTTTGTTAAATGTGTTTCTATCATCCTGTGGATTTTCACACATTTCCTTGACTACTTCATCATTTTTCTCAGAAGTTAACCATAATTTTGGACTATACTCTGGCATTTCTTGAAGAGGGGAAATTGTTGGAATTTGTACAACTGCTACATTTGTGATCACAGACATTTTGACTTTGTTTTGAGCATTTATGTTCCATGTTTTTCCAATAACTTGTTCGTTGTCAAATATAAAAACAACATCACCTTTTGGACACGGTGATTCGGTATTTTTTCTGTTGAGTTTAGATATGATGAAATGTATGAGTATTTCCCTCCTGGAATGGCTGTACCAAGAATGTTACAGGCTTGTCTACTCTTTGTGCAGGAAAATGTCACTAAATTTTGCATAAACGACCATGTGATTTCCTGTGAAATCTTTCTCAATCAATCGGTAAATTGATTAAATAAGGGGATTATAGTTTGGATTTGTACAGTATCTTTGGTTTGTCTTGTTATTGATAGCAAAATATGGAGAAGACGAGAATCTAAAGCAGAAAGATATTCATGGGGGTAAAAAATTGTTCAAGCTTTCAATGTTTCCATGTGGATATTGACAGCTGACTGTGGCAATTTGTTCTTTTAATAAGGAAAGAGGCATATATGACTTCAAAATTTTTTCGAGACAAATATTTTTTTCCTCCACATCCCACTGTTCAAACTGTTGAATTATCTGCTGTATCTTGAATTCGGAACAAGTTTTGTCTTGGCTTGCTGATGCCTCATTCTTATCTAACGTGTCTAATGTGCATATTTCACAATTTTCTCA